TTTTGAATGAAAAAATAACCAGAAATCATGCAAAATTGCCACTGTTATAAACCAAGTGGTTGAAATGTCAGCAACTGCGACTTTATAGGTTTTAAAGGGTAAGTGTTGCTCTAACAGATAGTGAAAGAATCGGGTCGATTTGAGCGGTGGTCGCTGAGAACGAGAATTTTGAAAAATTAGGCGATTTTAGGCTAATTTTTGACTGCTGACATTTGAACTCCTAAAACTCTTGATTGTGAAGATGTGTGATGTTGCGACTTCATAGATTTTCTAGGGTAAGGTTTGCCCTACTAGAATATATCTTAACCGTACCAATTCATCAAAGCACCGCCGAGATCCAGGCTCTTGAAAAAGCAGGTAAAAAACAGCTTTTTGAACTTCAACAGCTCGTAACTTCTCCAGAACTGCATGAATCATGTTGCGACTTCATAGGTTAGATTCCACTCATCAAGGGCTTTCAGATGATATATGATATATGGGGGTTTGGGGCCTTCTTCGACGTATGACCGGGGGGGGGGGAGACTTTTTAGGCCAAAGTCTCCCCCTCGCCCATTTTAATGTATTGGCTGGAGGCCGCCAGGGGAGACTTTGGCCTAAAAAGTCTCCCCCCCCCGGGCATATGCCGTAAGAGGCGCGAAACCCCCACATATTATATATCATCTGAAAGCTCTTGATGAGAGAAATCCAACCTATAAAGTCGCAACATGATTCATGCAGTTCTGGAGAAGTTACGAGCTGTTGAAGTTCAAAAAGCTGTTTTTTACCTGCTTTTTCAAGAGCCTGGATCTCGGCGGTGCTTTGATGAATTGGTACGGGTAAGATATATTCTAGTAGGGCAAACCTTACCCTAAAAAACCTATGAAGTCGCAACATCACACATCTTCACAATCAAGAGTTTTAGGAGTTCAAATGTCAGCAGTCAAAAATTAGCCTAAAATCGCCTAATTTTTCAAAATTCTCGTTCTCAGCGACCACTGCTCAAATCGACCCGATTCTTTCACTATCTGTTAGAGCAACACTTACCCTTTAAAACCTATAAAGTCGCAGTTGCTGACATTTCAACCACTTGGTTTATAACAGTGGCAATTTTGCATGATTTCTGGTTATTTTTTCATTCAAAATTCTGGTTCTCGGCAAATACTTCCTGGATCGACCCACTTTCTTCGCAGTACGACATAACTAAATCTACTTAATAAAATCTGTAGAGTGTCGTTGAGTTTCACTTCAAAATACACCATTTCATTGACACGTTTATTTCGAATATTTATGCCGCTGTGTTCATCGTATCTGTGGCCCTAAAAAGGGCCGTTGGGTCAATTGTTGGCCCTAAAGAAGACCGTTTGGTCATAGCTTTTTAAATCGAAATTCGTCCCGAAGCTATCTTCTCCCATTTCGTGGAAAGGCGGAAAAGTGAATGCGTCCATGGCGGTGATGGCCTTCGCTTCCGATGGGTGACGGCGAGTTCCTAAAACTGCAATACATATGTATATGCCTTTAATAATCCCTTTTGCGTTTGTTTTACTTATTTTCCTTCTTTATATTCAACAAAAAATTTTTCGCAAAAGTGAAGGTGGTCACTCTGTATCAGCTCAAAAGTGAAGGTAGGGGGAGACTTGGCTCCCCCTATCGCACCTCTGAGGGTGACCCCCTTCACCAAAAGCCGAGAAAAGTCAGCAGTGAGATAAGATTAAGCAAAGGAGATATTTGTGCGTGAATTGTTTATGCATGAGAAAGGAGGAGCCTGTTGAAAAAAAATTGCTTGATGACGGGTGTGAGTAGTGATTTCTGAACATTTTCGAGTTTTTAACATAAAAAATTCATAACTTTTGTAGATGAACATCTTTTACGGCGTGATGGTCACCGTTAGAACCGCCTCGTCCCCGTTTTCAAATGATTCATAATATGTCTCAGATTCATCTAAAAAACTGCCTGGGTGACTGAAGATTTTCGAGTTTTTAACATAAAAAATTCATAACTTTTGCAGATGAGAATCTTGTACGCAGGGATGGTCACCATTGGAACCGACTCTTCCTCCGTTTCAGAAAATGTGCACTTCGCCTGGAGTCCATCACAAAAAGTGCCTGGGTGAAGGGTGGGTGAAACTTTTATAATGGGAGTGCTCAAGTACAGATTTTTTTACCATCGTAAAAAGACGTCTACTTGAGCACTCCCATCATAAAAGTCTCACCCACCCTTCACCCGACACTTTTCTTCATGGACCCCAGGCAAGGTATAGAATTTCGAAAGCGGAGGACGAGACGGTTCTAATGGTGACCATCCCAGCGTACAAGGGCCTGTAGTAATCTACCACAGAACGTCACAACATGAACGAGCTTAGCTCACGACACTCATTGCAAATGACGAACTTAGGGCGAACTTAGCACAAGCTTCATAACTTTCTCCGCAAAACTTGCGCGCCCACGGGCATCGAACCGTTGACGTGATGATCATGTTGGTAGAGCACAGCCACTGCGCTATACCAATTGACATGCTGGCAAACCTTAGCACTACATAAATGCAAATGCAATCTTGTGATAACATGTAGCTCAACCACGCAATAACCTGCATGTGGATTTGAGATCAGCACGTGGATCGTATTTAACGCGGCTCATTCTTGTGATTTCATTCAAGATTGCTCTGCCCTTATCCCTGTCACTTATCTAAAAACGTTGGGTGGGGGACGCTTGAATTGGTAACTGACCTGTGACCAAATTTTCCGTAAAGCGTGTTCAACGTTGTAACACTAATTTCGGTCGAAAATTTCGAGTGCGAGCACAACACTCTTATAAAGACGCAATAACGCAGAGCAAGTGTCGAAAACACGAAAAAGTGTCGAAAGAGGTACGATAGTCGCAGCGAATGCTGGAAAACTTCTTGGTGCACGAGCAAGCGACCAATATACAAATCAAGACCTTGTTCTTGTCGCTGCAGGTGAAATCTGCTCCAGTCGTAGGAAGGCCGAACTGTTTTCTAGATTTGCATGACCGTAGCGCCATTACTTTGCGCTGCATGTGCCTGTTGTGGGAGAGAGAGAAAGACGAGATTGAAGATGCAGCAGGCACACAGGCCATACGCGTGCCGCAAAACCTTAGCGACGCGAACTCCCGCCATGCCAATTTTGGCCTGATTGGGTTGGGATTGGGGCACACTGTATTACCAATCTATCACTACAGCTTACTTTCACGACTTCAAATAGGCTGCATGCTCTATCAAGAGAGCATTTTATACCGTTGCAGGTCGAACGCTGATAGGGCTCTGCGTGATGATGAGGCTCGGTGAGTTTGCAATCACTGAACGCGCATTGATCTCCGCAGTTATCTTTCTCCTTCCAAACGTTTTTCCGCTACAGATGTTAGCTTCCACTTATCTAGAACGATTTCAAAGTACGAGATAGTTCAAAGGCACCGTCCATCAAAATTCTCGACTTTCAGATTTTTGCCATTTCAGGGCATTCATGTCCTTGATTCCAAATATGAAGTCGAGATCCGCGAAATCCCGAAAATTCCCATTCCGGAGAACCCATAAACCGGCTTTCCAAAACGGTGACTGGATGAGCGCGCACAAATGGGTGGACGGATGGGGAGGGGCGGACATGGATGGCGGCTCTACGTGCATCTTCCCTTTTCCAAAGCGATTTTCTCGCTTAGCGGCATTTTGCGCCGTGACCTAGGCATTGGCTTGGGTGTATCCCATTACTTGTGACTGCCAATTACGCAGGCGCCGCGCGCGACAGGCTGGCAGTAATCAGTTGTGAGGAAAACTAGGGTAGCATACTCGCAAAGCATACTATTCCATTTTTTGTAAAGGTTTTTACACTATCATACCAAATTTTCTTGTTTAATAAAAGTTTGGTCCCAAATCTTGCGAAATTGAAAAAGATAGTGGATGAAAATATGGAAATTGCTACGTATCTGGTCACAAAATATGTACATTTTGTTCACTAGAACAACGTGACCCCTGAACGTTTCCTCTGGGACATTTCCTCTGGAGCTGCTGCCTCGCGCCCGGGTTACTGTAACGCCGCGTCGCGGCAATTTCTAATTGACACCCACAAGTAATGGGCGCCCTCCCCCCCCCTCAGTTGGCTTGATAGGAGGCCCTACTGTTATATCCTGTCAAAAGCTCAACACCCTCAACTTAGGGACGGTGTCTTCAACTGATTTGAGGCCTTATGGCATTCTGCGTGTGAAATGGCCGCAAACTCACCGACTGTTGGGATCGACAGAGCTCTATACTTTGTTAACCCATTGACGACGACGCCTAATTTTGCGTGGCGGCGCTGTGGGACGACGCGATTTTGCATAACAATTGCGGCGCGGGAAAGTTTCGCGCTTATTTACAACATGTAAAATTTGTTTTGTGAGCAACTACAGCCATCCTTTTGGACGACGAAGTCTACAGGTTCCAAGGATGCAAAAAACTGGAAAAAATGCTGAATTCTGGAAAAAATACCAAACCTGGAAAGGATTTGATTTAGCAAGGGATGTGGGCCACCGGTGACCCACATCGTCCCTGGCGGCAAAAAGTGCGTAGGCCACCGGTGGTCCACATCGTCTGGGTTAAAAGGTGGAGTAAAGATTTGCAGCGCGTCACATGCTGGGTCAGGTCTCGAAAATATATACTGATGATTTATAATGCAAAACGGTCATCTCTCGTTTGGAAATCTGAAGATATAGAGTGCTGGAAAGTGTCACTTTTGTGGCTAATTTTACTGAGGTTGTAATCATGCACTACAGATATTACGTACAATCATTATGTTTATTAAACTTGGGAATCCAGCAATAAAAAAATGCGATGTCAAGAAATAGGATGCATAAGAGTTTCTTTTCTGCAATGTCTGGTCATGAGTCTATATTGTACCAACGACTGCCAATTCATTCGTTTTGCGTTGAAATCAGGACCATTCTATGCGAATATCTACTAACTATATTTGACTTGAATGTCCTCTTCTTAAGCGTAATGTCAAGTCGATGTTTGTTTATGCCATCCATGTTCTCCATTTATGTGACGCGAACCTAAAAGTTTTCATTTTTCTCAAAAACATAATGTTTTTGTCAGTTCACTTTATTTTGCTTACAAATCCTACACCATATCGACCAAGCCAGTAAAAACTTTTTTGAGTATCGAAGCAAGCACTCCAAAAAAAAGACCACCTGTTTACGGTTTTGTACTTTTTGGAACACGGCATACTCTTCACGGTTCTGAATTCAGAAAAAAATTTGTTCACCTACAAAGCGTCATGGCGAGTTCACGCGATATCGTCTCCTGCGATTCTCCAGACAACACAACTGGTACGAGTTCATTGCATGTCGATCACCTTGCATTACTAGGGATGGAGTAACAACTAGCATGTTGGAAAACTATCACAACTAAAATGCACAAGTATCGGCATGCAGTGGACTCGTAACAGTTGTAGTATTGGAAGAATTGACTATGAATCAAGATTTGATTTATGGTCATAAAACACACAGATATCTCGTATGGACTATACGGCAGAGGCAAAAGGGGAAAACTGATGACTAACGGTAACTTTTTTGGGTCATCTGGTCACAGTGCCTTGATACTAATTACTTTTATACTATCTGAGGCTCCGGACAGACTTCAGGCGATTTGATCGTCGCGATTCAGTCGCCGAGATTTCCACTCATTTTCATTACACATTCAAAAATTTCGGGCTGGAAAAGTATCACAACCGAAATGCAAGTTGATCGGCATGGAATGATGTTGTAACCGTTGTCTCGTCCCGATTTAGTCGCGACGATCAAATCGCGTGAAGTCTGTCCGGGGCCTGACGATTTACAGGAAGATGATAGCATTCGAAACCTGAGAAGCCAATCCTTATGTAACACAAATAACGGAATGAATGACTGAAGAAAGGCTTACATCTGAAAAAATCGAACAAGGATGACGAAGTCCACTATTCGAAAGCGGCGTTGTAACTTGCCCCACATAGCACAAAAGCGTTGCATTGGCGTCATGCAAAGAGCATACCGCACTGAACAAAGTTAGAATTAGTCATGAAACAATTCTCAGAGATTCTTACTTACCCAGCTAAAGCCAACTCATTGAGCGAATTGATGAATTTGGCCGCTATACGTGCAGGCGAGTTGCAGCGCGGAGCTTTGATAGCAGACCTGAATCGCTTTGAGTGCCAGCAAGGAGGGGAAGAGCGGAAGGAAAAAAAATCTCACTTATTTGTGAGAAGTATCACTAAAATAAGCGCGGAAGGACGAAATCAAAACAGCGTTGAAATTGAAAAGCTAATTTGTGTCAAACAAAGTAGATATTAGCAGTGTACACCATGAACTCACTCTAGTCTCAGTTCTTCGAATGACTCGGCAAGCGAAAGCGCAATGGTTTTATTTGCTTGAGATGGAGATTTGCTTCTGAAGGGAGTTGAGGTCCAGGGGCTGCAATCAACGAGATATTTATATTACTTAGTTGACTTATCAAAACTAATGAAGATGAACCGACGTCGTCAATGCTTCTGTGTTTTCAGTCTCTGCCTCAGCATCTGTGGCACACTCACATTTCTCCTCGATGGCATGAGTTGCTTTCTAGTGTTCGTATTATTCGGCTGAAATAAGATTCAGTTCATTTGCTAGACAAACAAGACTTACCGAATATATAATGCGCAGAATATTCATGCACCATGCACACAGTGAGATCTTTGTTCAGGTCTGCTTGAACCATACAATGTATGGATGGCGAGAAATGAAGAACTCTGTGCAAATCAGGAAGTTTATTACAGATAGATCAAGCATTTGACAAAACTACACGATCCTTTAAATCAGAATTGTACTGAAATTGTAGGTTTCCATTTGAGCAGTTATCATGAGGTATAATAACAAAATTTTTTTAGTTTGAAGGCTTAATCCCTAGTGGGCGTTATAAGTATTTGGCACATAATGCGAGGCAACAACCGAGGACATAATGAGGCTGCGGGGTGAATCACTGCTGTGCCCTTCCGGATCTACCGCAAAACATCGGCCATTGCCGTGTGCGGTGTGAAAACCAAGGGGCGCCTAGGCAGGTCACGTGGCGTCCTAAGCTTAAATATTAGGTTGTAACAGAATTAATGCAGGTTTTGAATTCCCACCGCAATAAGTCATACACTTTTCATTTCTGAGTAGGTTGCAAATACCATTCGATAGAGCAAAGCAATCTCTACAAGGTGGCAATCTTGCTTTAGCAATAACTCTAATCCACCACGAGTTTCGAACCAAAAACTAAAAAGATTCAACTGTCCGAAAAATTGAGAAAAATCGTAACTCAGTCCATAAAAAACCTACAAAAATTCTAACTTGCTCACGTAAACACTATTCACATAAGACATCTATACACGCCTTTGCCGTATTTTTTTCTCTGTTAGAAATCAAGTAAATGGAAATTTTCGTGCTTTTGCCAAAGTGTTGCTGTGCCGTTCCCACATAAGTAGTTGTATATTACAAATCTGTAGAAGTACAAACGTAAATTTTCAGCTCTCTACAAGCTTTAGTTCTCGAGAAATTGAATTTTAGCTTGGACCACATGACTAGCGAGAACTGTATTCGATATTTTTCGAGAACTAAAGCTTGTAAAGAGCTGGAAATTCACGTTTATACTTCTACAGGTTTGTAGTATACAACTACTTATGTGGGAACGGCACAGCATCACTTTGGCAAACACATGAAAATTTCCATTTTCTTGATTTCTAACGAAAAAAAAACGGCAAGGGCGTGTATAAATGTTTTATGTAAATAGTGTTTACGTGAGCAAGTTAGAATATTTGTAGGTTTTTTATAAACTGAGTTACGATTTTTCACAATTTTTTGGACAGTTGAATCTTTTTAGTTTTTGGCTCGAAATTCGTGGTTGATCAGAGTTGTTGCTAAAGCAAGATTGCCACCTTGTAGAGCTTGCTTTGCTCTATCGAATGTTGTTTTGCAACCTACTTAGAAATGAGAAGTGTATGGCTTATTGCGGTTGGAATTTAAAACCTGCATTAATTTTGTTACAACCTAATATTTCAAAGTAGCAAACAACGTAAACCGATCTGCCCTCCCTGGCGTTCATATCCTCCGCGCGTTTGCGCAGCTGCTCACGATCTAGCTGCAATTCTTCGAGTGTCTATTCGCGCCTAGCGTATGAATGCACAAACCTCTGTGTGAGACTTTGCCGCCCTGTGCGCATGTGTTCCGAAAGCTTGTCCTGCAACTTTTTGATGCGAAGACCCACCAGAACACGACCACGTGCTTGTGGCCTCATAGGTTGGCATGTAGGTTAACGGAAAATGGTCACATTCCCCTTATCATATTCCTCGATCAATTCCCTTTCGCCCGATGCATATGTATTCCCGTATAATCTCTTGTTCAAGGCGACTCGTCACCCTGCTCATCGATCCCTATCAAATCTATGCTTTTTGATTTTTCTTCCAATTTGTTGTTGTCCGCATGAACTTTAACAAGTGTGGAATACAGTAGCTTTTGCTGACTAAATTTGTCCGAGTGCAGATCCGAAAGTCTACTTTCTAGACTCTCCCAAACGCCAAAATCTCCCTTTGCGTATTTTTGATTTCTTTGATTTCGTCAAAAACCCGATTGCAACCCACTTGCGGTCCTTTTGAACGATAACGAATAGACATCAAACCGTTCAATCAACTCAGCCGCTCACACAGGCATATCGCCTTCGTGTGTGCCATTCCTGCGTGTAGACTGACGAACCATTGGAAAGCATGGAGTTAAGGCGACTCGACCATGCGTTAGCACAGGATTGAGTACGGCGGGCGTAGAGGGGTGAAGGGGGAAGAAGACGGTGCAGACTATCGAAATGCCGGCCGTAATAGAAACAATCGGACAGGATCAAACTGGCGGGCACTGGATCACACTCAGCGGGGCATAGGGTCAAACTCGGCGGGCACAGGACCAAACTCGGCGGGGACAGGATCCTCGGTGGGCACAGGATCAAACTCGGTGAGATGGGATCGCCCAAAGGAACGACTCAAGAAAGATCGACCACATTCCCACCAACTGAAGGTGGTGCTTGTTGCTCCGATCACCGCCTCCTTTGAGCGAAGATACGATTCAGTCAAAAGATGAAAAAAAGGTTCGCCACACTACCGCAAGAAGGAAAATGTCGTTTTATGACGGTAACAGGCTGTAAGAGCTCATATCAAGTTGTGACTGGCCCATCGAGGAGGATTCAACGTACGACTCCGACTAGCTTCTGAAAGGATGGCGAGCCTGCGGAGGGTGCGCCTCAGTGACTTCTGAGAAAAACCTGGAACGCATTTCGAAGACCATCAAGGAACTACTCGAAAGAAAAAAATCACTGTGGCAAGATCAGGATGCAACCCATCTTGAGCGACTGATAGCCAACGCCAGTTGCAGAACAGCTTTGCAGGAGGATCTCAGGAAGTACAGGCGGACAAAGATATTGGAAGCGGCAGAAGGAAGACAAACTCTTGAGAAGTACGACAGGGATCTTTGTGAGTATCACATCCGCAGCTGCACTATTGAACAAAAACGGAACCCCCGTTCTTCCCGATATAATATGAAAGTTATCGCAGAGAACTTTTATATCAAACTTTTATACTCTTTTCCTCTCAACAATCCCTGTGCCGATGACCGTTGTCTCCACTGGAGAAGTACCACCACAAATTCTACCTGCTGAAGTGTGCGCACAGCGATTCAGACCGTGAAGACGTCCATGTCCACGGATTAGACCATCTTTACGTCGAATCTCTGCTAGTCGGAGGACAACGTCTACACGAGATTCCTGCGTCGAACTTGACATCTTACCTTAAGAAGAAAAGGATTTCCGACGCCAGTGGCAAACTGAAGAACCGCCCTTCTCTTCAAGAAGGGTAAGCGGGAGGATCTTCGGAACTATCGTCCAACGTGCCTGCTGAGTGTGCTGCACAAGTTTTTTGCGAAGATATCTCGCTGTATCTAGGACACTGGACGAAGCCCAACCCCAAGAACAAGTTGGATTTGCAAAGGATTCGGCTGTATGGACCACATTCAATCGGTTTGGAAGGTCACAGAAGTCGCACGGAAAACCAAATGCTTCTGTTGCAACCTTTGTCGATTACAAGAAAGCCCTTGACAGCATCGAAACCAACGACATCCTGTCAGCGTTATCCGATCAAGGAGTGGACCCGCTTACGTGAGAACGTTAGCGACTGCTATAAGGACTGTACAGCGACGACGCAGCTATTCCATCACCCCTGACCATTCCAATTGGAAGGGGGGTTTGACAAGGCAACATTATTTCGCCTAAGCTGTTCACCGCGAACTTGCAGTAGGTCATTAGGTCACTAAACTGGTACGAGAGAGGCCTACGAGTTTATGGGAGATTCCTGTCCAACCTTCGTTTTGCAAACGACATCGTTCTTTTCTCGAGCAGTATCACTAAAGCAGAGACGATGCTGAAGGAACTAAACGAAGTAGGGAAGAAGATCGGATTGCGAATAAATCGGAAGAAGACTCAGTTTATGAGGTACTCCCTTTGCGAAGATGCAGAAATAAAAGTGGAAAGTACTTCCATTATGAAGACGTCTTTTTACCTGTATTTCGGACGTTCGATGAACATGGTTAACGACTTGAGGAAAGAACTGAACAGGAGAAGGAGAGAAAACTGAGCCGCCTTCGAGCCTCTGAAGAAAGCCACCGACTAACTGTCGGACTCGGAGCTTTGTGTCCACCTCTCCGACTCAGCCGTTCTCTGGCGCTCTATTACACAGCTGAGAGTTGGGCCGACGCTGTAGCCACATCGAAAGCTATACGGACCAAGCGAAACATCGATGGGCTGGTCACATTATGGGAAGAACGACAGATAAACACTAAAAAAAACATCAAGTTGATCCTTGCGGAACAAAACATTCCCGAGGAAGAAAACCGACGAGATGAACAGACGTGTTCGTGGAAAGGATGGACTAGCTGAGAAATTAGCTGGGTACGATTTTCGCCCCTAGCTCGTGAACGCAGCCACCGACGTCAACCAAGAAGATCGTGGATGTCTGAAGCGAGGGACAAGGACCGATGGAAACTCTTGTGCTGGGGCCCGCACGCCATGTGAAGACGGGTCATCTAAGTATCTAACAATGGAATGGTCAGAAATCGAAGTGGCCATTCCAGACAAGCTGCGTAGCGTTAGATGCAGCATGAAGCGCTGACTCTAGATCTGTCTTCCTTACCTGCTTATCGCTTTTCTGAACGAAGCTGTAAGCCATTAAAGACCATTGTTTTGCTTAGAAATTATGCGTGAAATTGAAAATTTAGCCGTACAGAGCCTCGTTCGCCTCAATGCTGGGCCAAAACATGCAGCTAGCTTACTTAAAATTTTTGAAGCCAGAAGCCGAGCTAAAAGTGCAACAATGTGCTCAATTTCGCTTTTTTTATGTATGATTTTTTCACAATAAAACCGCTTGTAGCTTCGTCTACAGAAGCGGGAAGCAGGTAAGGAAGACAGATTCGAAGTCAGCGTTTTATTCTGCATTGAATGATACACAGCTTGTTTGGTTTGGCCACTTCGACTTTTGACCATTCCCTTGTAAGTAAGTACATTCTGATCATAGCTGAATTGTTTTCTACTGCAAATTTAAGCTGTAGCCATGCCGACAAGAAATTTTTCCGCATACAAACATACGGTAGGTTTTTGAGGAGAACGCATTAGGGGGTAAAGTGAAGTAGATTGACTGCTTAGTACAAGGTGCTCGTACTGCTGGTGAAATGAGGTAAAATTTGCGCATGAAGAAATAGCTACGCGTGTGACGCCTTCCTACTGCGCTCGGAATGCCGGCATTACTGGCGCTGCTATTTCTTCACGCGCAAATTTTACCGCATTTCGCCTACAGTGCAAGCACACTACATTAAGCAGTAAATCTACTCGACTGTACGTTCTTTCAAGAACTAAGTGTCGCGTTTGTTTGATTGCACCTTTAGGATTGGGTTTGATACCATGAAATATAATATTTTGCAGTTAAGGTGGCAGAGAGGGAGGAGTCGAGTCAATAGTTCCCTCCTAGCTTAGTCATCCAAAGTGATCATGACACACGGTCATGCGTTTACTCTTGTGAGTGTCCTCATCCAATGCAATATGACACTTTACGTTTAAACGATTATGCCTGTGAGTGTCTATTTCACTGCAACTGTTAGAAAAGTCCCAGTTGCCTTTGAGGATTTCGAATTTTGACAGAGGCTCGCTGTCAGATGCTTATGGCTTATGCCAGTTGATAGCTACTGACGCTTGTTTGAAATATTGATTTGAAAGTAAAACATTCAATTATAGCTAAAACGAACTTTATAAATTTTACTAATTGAAAAATCGACAAGCTTCGTTGAGCTGCAAAGAAATTGGATTTACACTCTGCTTCAAACGTAATAATCTTGTTATATCAAAAGGGATAATAAGATCGAAGATGTTCGAGACGTATTCTTAAATTGAGGCTAGATTGAAACTACTAGACTCTATTTTGTAAATATTGAAAAAAGTCAAAATTTGAGGTAAATGCACACTAAGAGAAAACACTTGTGAGAGATAAATAATGCTTTGTAATTGTATACAAGTATTTTCGCTTTGAAAACATAATTCATTACCAATAATACTTACTGGACACCAACAAGCGCTGTAGAAGCGACATGTCAGTTACCATTTTTTGCTTCCTTAAGCATAATGTGTACACGAACACGAGTTGAATTTATATCAGGGCTGTGGGCAAATCAAATCGACTCATAACATACAAAGCAGCGATTGCAATATGCCGTGCGTGCTCACTAGAATGGGGAGCGACGATTCCAGCCAAAAGTCATGTAGGCTGACAATTGAACGCATTTAGAACGCGAAACAAGGTAAAATGTACGCTTGAGTCGACTGCTTCAATAAATAAGAAATGAATATTTTACAAGGTTAAGAGATTAGAAGAAAGACCACGCTTTGTCAAGGAATCGTTATGTATACGAAATTACATGATCAAAAGTAATACGTTAGAAGAAGCCACGATAAAGAATTTTTGGTTGAAGCGGTGAAATTTCGTTTGGAAAGGAACAATAACAATTGACGGAACTTTGTCAATGTTTATATCATGAGTGCCGGAAATGTTTCAATAACTGTAATTGTTTACCACTCTCACTTTCAAAATTTTGTGAAATTTATTTCTCATAAATCAGTCGTTTTCAGACAAATCATTTTGTACATTGCGCCTTATTTTTTTGGTAAGACAAATGGGAATTTGAGTAGAAACGCATTTGCTTTTTAGATTATGGACATCGTCTTCGTTAATCAGCAAGCACTCCATTCGCTTTTGTCCGCTCTCTGAGACGCAATAGAGGTTTCTGTAGCATTAAGCGCTGAGAATGGGTGTTGAAGTTTACTTCAAAAATTGAATTTACTGTATTTTGTAAAAGTTTTCAAGTGGTGGTCTTAAACGGGTCATTGATTTGCTGCAGTGATCAGCTGTGTAATCCAGTATACTGCATAAGCCGAGACAGATCTAAAACGAAGTCCAATAACAGGAGGTTTCAACATGTCACGAGTGATATTCAATATTTTTGCTCAAATCCGCACCGCAACAAAGTTGGAGCAGATAAAAAGCTCTGTGAAGTGTAAGATAATTATTTCTTGGTTCCATGTGTCGCTCGATGAAGAGTGATTTTGACAAGATAAATGCTTCATTCATCTTTTCATTTTGTTGTTTCTGAACATACATCTCGATGCGCAGTTGTTTGTACAGCGTCTAGGAAGCAATTGCTAGAAGTAGTTCGTACAAGAAGTCGTTCAATAGCTAGTCACACAGAAATTTGTGTGATTTCACAGACCATGGTGGCTCGCTCGTTTGGATCCTTGTCGGTATTACATGGTAAAAAACTCGTAGCGGCTCATCTTTCTGTCCAACTCTTATGCAAGTTTCTTGTACTTGCCTTTCATATTTTTATTTGGTCACTAGCTTGCTTACCCGGCTCCGCTCGGCTCTGTCAAAACACTGTAATAAAGGTCACATCCCTATCCCTGTACAGCCTTTCTCTGTTCCCACTCCTATACTTCATTTCCCGATCCCTGGGTTGTTTTCGAAATCAGCATGCCCACTTACCCCCCTCCCCCTGCCAACTCCCAGCCCTTGCAAATTTTGAAAAAATCGATAAAATCGATGAAAGTGTAAATGCCGAAAACTAATATTGTACTCGTAATCAGCATGCTCGATTACTCCCCTGTGCCAACTCCCAGCCCTGTAGCTCAAACTTTGCAAAAAATCGATAAAATCGATAAAAGTAATGAAATGAATAATTCAAGGAACTAATATTGTATTCGTAATCAGTGTGCTCGATTACCCCCCTATGCAGATTCCCAGCCCCGTAGGTGAACTCTGCAAAAAATCGATAAAAATCGATAAAATAGATATCGATCGGTGAAGAAAAGTAGCCTATGACACGCTCCCTGCATCGAAGTGTATGTGTATGAAATTTGGTCCAAATCGGTTTAGAAATAAAAATTTCTATTCCGCACATAAGTACAGACAGACATACACACATTCAGCTCTGAATATAAGATTCCGAAAGTAATTTTGCTTTTTCTAAACGGGGGCCACGTTTGGTGGAACAAAGATTCCTAAGAGAATTTAATAGCATTCGATGCAGCATTTCATCCTCTTTCTAATGGTTATAAAACTGTTACAACACAATCAAGGGGCCTTCAGAAAATAACCAAAATCTGCGACCTATGCTTTTTGAGATAATCAAGTTTCACATTTCAAAACTTTTATATAATCCCTCCGAAAAAGGACAAGTAACGTGTTCATAGGACAAACCCTACAGAATGCAAAACAACTTTCTTCTTCTTTCCGTAGCTTTTCAAACATTTTTAACAGAATTTTAACTGATGCTGATTTCTATTTTTGGATAGCTAAATCTTTATAGAACATCAAAGGAAGAGCAGCTCGGACACTATTTGATGCAGCATTTTGTCCTCTTTCTAGCAGGTGCTTTTTGTTTCCGATTCGTTTGATTTTCGGAGATATAATCACCATGACTCATTTTTTTAAACGAGCTCCAGGCTGTATCCGAAAAACTCGAAATTTGATATTTCGAATCCGTAAACTTTCACTTGCTTTATAAAATTATTGCTAACTTATAGTACCGTCTTGGTAGTCTCAAATTTCGACTAATTCTGATGTTTGATGCGATTTTGGCTGATGTAGGCCTGTCAAAATCCAATGGTTTTTCTAAAAAGCCTTTTAGAAAACTACGGCGAGTTAAGAGAAAGAAAGTTGTGCTGTATCCTATGAGGTCTGCTCTTTCTAGTCGTTACTTGAACTCCTTCTGAGGGTGATATGAAAGTTATAAAAAATTTTGAAATTTGACCATCTTAAAAAGCGTGGGTTGCAGATTTTGGCAATTTTCTGAAAGCTCATTAAGCTCACTGCAACGACTTCATTACTGTTAGAAAGAGGATGAAATGCTCTATCGAATGCTACCAAAAACTCTTAAAAATCTTTGTTCCATCACATGTGGAGTCCGTTTAAAAAAGCGAAATTGCTTTCGAAATGACCTAATATAAATATCAACTCTTCATGCTCTCTCTATCAATCTCGGGAGAGCAACTCAGTTTCAAAAGTAGAATCGATGAATGCAGCATGCTCACTCCACGTACCAGTCCCTGCTCTCAGCTCGAAGTTTGCAAAAAATATCGAAGCAACAACATTGGATAATTCTAAACGCAGATTGTGTATTCGTAATCAGCATACTCGCTGCTTTGCTGTACCAGCCACCGCTTTGGAGTGCGCCAAAATCGATAAAATCAATAAAAGCAACGTATAGTTTTCCAGACGGTTGCTGTATTTGTAAACAGCATGCTCAGTTACCAATTCGTAAAGATCTCTTCGCTTACCACTTGGTGGACTTCCGCTGCCTCAGATTGAAATTGCAGCAGTTAATAAAATCAATAAAGGTTGATTGAAGACGAATTTTGCAATCGTTATCATTATGCTCACTTATCCGCCCCCTCTGTGCCAACTCCGAGCTCTTCAGCCTAAATTTCAAAAACTAAAACACATATAGAGAAAGAGATTTTGAGAGCACGGCTGTTTTCGGCAATTTCTGCTCCTTGTAGGGATCCTGCCAGAGCAAGTAGGCCAAAAAGGAAGCCCCATTGTTTGACCGCAGTGTATGAACTTGCATATTATTGCTTAAACGTCCGTACAGGTACAGTGTAAATTCCCCGTTGCGATGTCGCCCAAGCAGCCAAGTTTCCGCACGCACTAGCACAATTTACAGTGCCAAAGGCAAACCTTACCCGAGGGTGCCGCGTCTTCAGTAGGAGCTTCTCTGAGACCCGACGAAGCTCGATAGGGCGGAAAAATAGTTAAGTTAATTAGTAGCGTCATCATAGTGTACGACCCTTTTAAAATTATGATTTTTGTATTCATATTGAAACCTCATAGTTTTACAAAGATGTTTTTTATGAATGGTAATCTTCGATGAAATTTTGTTTCCCGTTATTATGTGCAAAGATGTCATGAAGATCAACTGACAATGGGTTCAACATTTCAAAGCTTTACTTTGAAGAATTTCTGCAGGTCAAAATGACTATTTTTCTGACTCCTTATTGGAGAATACGCAGGCGAATTTGTGTTGAATCCCCCACCCAATTTTTCTGTAGTCTCTGTCGTATGTTGCGCAGGCATAGTAACGATTATTGGGGGACCTGTCCTTCTGGGCTGACTGCAACGTTCCTGTTAGTCTCGTTAAAAAAAGACACAATTTAATTCAAAAAACTGATTATATCAGGGGCGTAATGCGGGCGAAGCCAGCGTGCTGGATAGCGTTCTTCAGAAGGCTGAAGAGACTGGACGTTGTACGTACTTGTCAACTCTTTCTCCAGAAGTTACCAACAATTTAAGAAAGAGTCATACTGTGTAGGGGAACGAAGACTGCCAGTTTGGGCCGCCTCTGCGGACTAATGGTCCTGAAACGACATGCAACGACGTTGCAAAAACAGCAGTTGACCGCGAAGAGCGGCTAAAACTGGCGGCCTTTGTCTCTACCGGCCGTCACTTACGGGCTCTAGCACAATACTGTATAACACGGGTACTTGATAACAAATGACATGTTTACAAGTGTCGACTGATATTACACCGTTCTGTGGAGTCATATCAGCAGTCGTGCCTTGCTTTCTCCCTTATAGCAACATAAAGCAGAACTTCTAACTTCCCTATTTTACAATATCAGATAGGTTTTTGATATGGATCTCTGTCAGTTCTGAAGCCGAAAAAGCACAGCAGACAGCCTAAATACGGTAAGCTTATGATGGCACTTTTCGAACCCTTTCACTACGTCTAGTTTGCCTTATAGTTTTTGTCCGTCAAGCAAAAACTTAAATTCGCTTATTTTCAGAAATATTGTAATGCTATTCAGTAAAGCAAAGCAGAAGCATTCGCACAAGTTTATGCATGCTCAAAATAAAAATTCAAAACTTTCAAATCGAAAAATTAGAATTTACAGGGTGGGGCAAAAGTCTGGGAGCCTAGTACTTTTTCAGATAAAATTAGAAGGAAAGTGCCTAGGAACAAAAAATTTGGTGCACACATAAATTGAACCTTTACAAATACAACAGTGCTCTCATATTTTGAAATTGCCTCTTCTGCCTTCAAAGCAGCCATTCGAAGTCTTGGCGAGTCTGCCTGTTCTGGCACGCAGACAGTCATGATGAAATTTGTCCCACGCCATTACGGTAACTGTTTCTTTCTCCGTGCAAATGTGCGTGTGATAGAGCAAGCTTTTAGCTACAACGTACTGCGAAGAAATTTTTTTTGTGTCAGGAAAAAAATTTTGGAATTTTAATTGAAGGCAAGTGTACAATGTATACTGGAAATCTGGATGCGATTGCGCGAACGGGAGCGAAAAATCGTAATCTGAAAAGTGTTGAAATTGCTTGATCGATCGAACTCAAGTACATGCTTGCATAGAAGATCCAAGGAAAGAGTATAGCCTAGAATTCAGTGCCTGCTGTGCTCCTATAGCTTTCAAATTTATTTTAAAGAAAAATGGCCACTGGCACGCAGGTAGTATTCGCAAATTTTTATTTTGCGTTTTCGAAAGAATAGTATCTGACAAACGCAATGACAACGAATCGATAGCGCAAGGTATCCTCTACATTGTATGCATCGAAGCTCTTTAGAATATACACTGTATCTTTAGCTACAAAGTAAGTTGTGAAGACCAGAAATTTCGATTTTCTAGCATTGCAGAGCACTTGTTCGATAAATCCAACTCCTACAAAAACATATGGCAAGCATTTTCAGCCAGCCAAAGTGCGATTTGTAGAAGATGATCGCAGCAATACGTGACACAAATTTGGAGTCAAAATCATCAGTAGTTTCTTGATTTACAGCACTACAAAATAGGCTCCCAGACTTTTGCCCCACCCTGTATATGAAACATTCATAAATTGCTAGATAATGTTGTTTGCGAATTGAAACAAAAGTTGCTTTTCACAAACCAAAAAGTAGAATTACGAGTTTTACCTTCGTATGGGCTGCTTCAAGGTATTGAAAATTATCGAAAAAACAGAAAGAAACGTCATCTTCGTAATCTGCCTTGTTTTTGATTCAGTTTTTAGCCATAGAAAGTGCAGCATTGTATAATCAGTCTGGAGGTTCGTTAAATGTGCATGAACAAATACGCATCTTTGTAAGTATAAATTCTAATTTAAGTTTACTGGATGCAGTTTCGTATAAATTCTGGCCGCAGTCTTATATTATTTGCTTTGCCCTTTTCGATAGCAATGTTTTTCAAAAAGAAACAAAGACTACCTGATAGAAAAAAACCGAGATGATGGGATAGTGTGATAAAATCGTCATTCATGTAATCGATCACCACTTCCGCTTGCTCTTTAGCTGAGAAGAAAGTGTTATTGCTAATTGTAACTCACCGCGCAAAGAAGATCTTTGTACCAACGGCGAGCTTGCCATCGAAGTGCCGCCATCAATTCAAATGCATTTTCTTTTGGGATATCTCGTATGCTGAAATTCATATATGCGGAACGAGAATGCGCTAAAAGCTACTTCAACTTCCTACTTTGCTTGGTGTGGATACCAATGCTGAACAAGCGAGTGATACTCGTTACTCTTATTTACCCACTCTAACTGGAGAATACAATCCAAGCTGGGACTGTAGTTCTAAACAGAAGAATTTCTTGCATGTGGTATAAGCTTCCAAAAAACAATCATAATCTAGTAAGCGGTATAGTTCAACTGTGCAATTTTTCTATCTGAATCAGCGTGAAAAAATTCGGGCAATCGGTTTTTTTTTTTGAGATTTGAAGCTGTGATCAAGTCCTCACTAGTTTCTCATTGAAATTCTTCCAGCCTGCATCCGCGCAGACTTTCCGGAGTGCTTCCTTGGTCTCGTTCATCCACGTATTTTTTACCAAAACATTTCCGCCTTTGCAAGTGCCGTTTGCGTAAGATGCGAGAGTAAGAGCCGGAACCTGAACAGCAATCATTGACTATCATACATTGAAGAATGCAACTTACAATAAGCAAGCAGTAGAACAACATTTCTAATTGTGTTCCCATATTTCTCTGACGCTTTTATGCAGAAAAATTTCTACAAAATTGTCACATATAACAAAGGATGTACTACACTCGTTGTTATTCGAATGGGATCGTAATTAATAGAGTGCGTCATCCGTGAACGCGAGGATGATAGCACGACTTTTAGTACGCTAATACCGATGCATGTGGTCCAATGTGCACTTCATAATGCATGGCACCCCGATGCATGTGGTCCACTGTGCACATCACTACTATTGCATGGCACCCCCATACTAAGCAGCTATGTTCTTTTTCTAGTTTTCTGTAATTCTCGAGATTTCCACAATCTCTTTTCGGGGCAGAAATCTTTATTGCTGCTAAAACGAGCTAAAAAAATCATTTTACATTAACAATCGTCTTAATAATTTTTCGAAGTGCAACAATTTAGGAAACTTCAAAAATAGTAGTTTTATGATCTAGCATTCTCTCATGAGCAGGTATTTTAGTGAAAAATCACTCAAAAATAGCACTTTTTTAAAATGCAAAATCATTGCATTGAAAAACAGGTGGAAGAGAATTTAAGTTTGTCTTGATCATGATATTATTTACCAATAACTCAAAAATACCACTTGGCAAAGATCCTGATGAGGCAGATTGTGTGCATCCAATAATGTTATTGTTGCTGTAATTTTCTCAAGGTCGCAGATTTGCAAAATTTTCTACAGTTGAAATAATTTCATGAGTACATGAGCTATTACACTGAGGTGTAGGAATTTCCTGTTGTACATGCAAAAATCATTCTTTAATGTTATAGCTTAGCCTTATTTAGGCTTCCGTGTTCCAAAAATTATCTGTATAATTTTCTACATTTGTAGCTTTGTTTTTTCAAACTTGCCAAGTTATGACTTTAAGTTCGTCCAAATAGGACAGAAAACCCGACACAAGAAGGCGTATTTAAATCTCAAAAGATTGAAAACTTGGATGAAGCTCGGATTTTTTAGAACGCGTAGGTGATTCTAGAATGAGAATGAAAAATGCATAGACGCAAGAGCTTAATTGTTGTGTGAGCGTAGCATTTTATTAGGTTGTGAGGAAAGTTTCACGGTACATTTGAAAATTTTATTTTCAAGCTCATTTTTCCGCATTCGGTCGAATTTTTACTGTGCAGTTTTAGATTGTTTTGTAGAAGAGAGCTTAAGCTTTCTGAAGGTTTTCATCGGTGTCTAATTATATATTTGATCTGTAGTCCACAGAAGGAAACCTTTTCAAAGGCAAAAATTCCAATATTTTTCTTCTTGTGCTAATCTTCCGGTTAAACAAGCAAATTCGCGTAATTCTCAAATGATTCGAATGAGGAGACTGTCTAATACGCATCCGCAGCTGCGCTCGAAATTTGCTGCAAGCGCACAAGAATTATAAGCTGTCAAACTTGCGACTCTTTTCGCAGCTGGCGCCGATCCTGTGTTGATCACCCTCCTGGATGTTGAGCCCAAAAGATGAGGACATTACCCAAACAATATTTGCAATAATAAACAACTTGATTCAAGTTAAAAAACAGCATTTATGGGGTGTAAAAAATGACCAACTCTTCAAACTTTTCGCAAAAGAATTTTTGCAGCTGGCGCCCCAAAGCCCTGATTTGTCCAATCACACCAGCACCGTAGATTTCCATATACCTGCCGAATATGATCTCCAACATGATCGCCATCAACATCTCCAATATGATCGCCAATATAATCTTTCCATGCTTAAGAAATTCATGCACAAACAGAAAGATTTTCAAGTCTACTTTTTTTACTTCTGCGCATACTATGGCGCGAAATGTAGTGCTGAAGACATAATAAAATGTAGTGTCTTGTATGCAAATTTTTCCTTGCAACAAAAATTCCAGCTCTCAAAAAGATCATTTCGCATGAAGTTACAGCCGTTTGAAAAAAGAAAATTTAAAGTGCCCAAAAACCTTCTTCACAATTGAGTCAGGAGGGAGCACTTTGCATACGGTAACGAAATGCTCATTGATGTCATGCAAAACTTTTATAAGATTATGTCTCTTTTGTACAAAAACAAACTAAAACTCACTTTTCCGTTCAGTGTCTGCCTTTAAACTCGTACGTATGCACGGGGTATATGTCAAGATTTTTATCGCAAGAAGGACAACTAGCGCAATTTTAATGTTCAATAAAGTTTTTGAAGACTTCTGTATTTTTGAGAAGATCTACAAAGTCCTTGTCAGGGCTGTTCAACCTTCTTGAGATAGATTCAAAACATGAATGTTGAAGGTCAAAAACCCTTAAAAGGCAACTAATTGCACTTTTGCAATCAATTTTTCACCAAAAACCGTCAAATCAAGTGGCAACTTTAGATAGTTAGTAACCTAGAGCATTTTGTCTGTTAAGCTGACGTTTAGGAACCATTTGTTAGAGATTCAACTCAGACTTACAATGTGAAGCGTTTCCTTGGTCGGTCTTCATTACTGTAAAATTAGTGTACGAACGTCCATTGAAATTTCGCCCCAAGAGGGGAATCAAACAATTCAAAAACTTTACACTAGGCTGTTTAGGTTCACTGACTCTGAATATGAAGTTGCACCCATAGTAGTTCGTTTATAAATCATGCCAAGTATAGCATGATAGCTGTCTTCTCAAGTTCTTCAAAACCGTGATTACATAACTTTGAAAGCTTTAGGACTTGAAGTTGAGTAATACTCAGCATACGTAAAACCTTGCTGTACGAATTTCCAGGATTTTCAGAAAATTAAAACGCAGGCTAATTCACAATGGGACAGTGTATTAGAATTTACCGTAGTCCTACAGTGATGAAAAGTGATAGGTGATTTGATTCTCTTTATAGTAGATCCCAAGTTGGAGCCAGTTTATAGCACTGTATTCAGTGGTTAAAAAAAGACTTTTTAGGAAAAGAGGTGATAGTCAAACAGTGCATATTAGGCGGATGTGTAAATGTTCAAATATTAATTATACCGCAACATGATTCGGGGTATCATTTGATAGGGAAAAGTGCCCCCACAAAATTGTACTAGGGGCCGGAAACACTTCACGCATTTCCTCGCGATTCTCTCAACAAGAGAGCTGTCACTTTCATTGGATGCATCTCGATTGTTATAGTTAGCCTCGGTTAGTCGTGTCGGAAAACTAACACAGCCGATGTGCAAGAAGTATGATCCTGATGTATAGAACTTTCCAAGAACTTTTTAGTTTTGTCTTTCTCCTACGATCAATCGTACACTTCTTGATTCTACAATTTATGCACCGCTCGATAGAGCAAAATAAATTTAAAGATGGCCTGTAAGCAGTGGCGTTCCCAGGATTTCAGTTCGGGGGGGGGGGGGAGGGAGAACAATTTTTTTTCTAATGAAGGCGCGTGGCGTCAGCCACGCATTCCGATTTTTAGGATGCTTCGCAAAACTTCTCAAAATTTTTGTGGATTCCCAACTTCTAAAATGTGGAAAGAGGGGGCGTGGCATCAGCCGAAAAAAATTTTTTTTACAAATCTAGTTTGTATTTTTAAAAATTTCCAAAAATTATTTAAATTATTTACAAGTAAAGACAAGTCCTTTGCACAGTTTTATAACACATTTAAGTAACTTTCAAAAATTTCGCGACCCATTCTCGGGGGGGGGAACCCCCCTTTCGGTACGCCACTGCCTATAAGCCTTCACACCAGCTTCCTTACTCGTCTGCAAGCTGAAATTGCATAAGAGCAATTTTCATCTTCCTGCAATAGTTTTCGTGAAATCTCAAAGTTAGCTTTTTTGCATTAGTCTTTTAGGTTGACTATCATCATCTTTCGCAAACTAGACTTTTCAGAAAGCTGGAATTTGCTGTTGTACTTCTGAAGACTGGTTGTATACATCTACTTGTGCGAGAATAGCAAACATCGTATTGGTAAAGCATGAAATTTTTTTCTGGGCTTCTAGGGCGAAAAAAATATCGTACGACATAAGTGAATGTCTACTGCGATTCGATTCGCGCAAGGCTGGAAAATCCGACAAGAATTTTGGACGAAGATAAAAATTTTTTTTGACTTTTTGGCATTAGAAACTTCCTGAATTTCGGCATGTAACTTATGGTGCATTGGAGCTGGTACAAACGCTTACAATCCATCTTACAAATTGCTTTGCTCTATCGAATTGTTTCCCTCCATCCCAATCAGAAATAAGAAATATATGCATTTGCAGTAAAAATTCAAAGACAGTAATAATTGAACGTTTGCACCAACTTTGATCCATGCGAAGTTCAGAGCCAGAAGCAAGGAAGTACCAAGTGTTTGGAAAATCAAGGAAATCGTGTCAAGAAATCCAACTGCTTCTTCACTCGCTTAGCATTCGCATTGCACATGAGCCTTCCATATGAAAAGTTGCTGTATTTTTTTTCCTTGGCGCTAAAAACAAGAAAACAAGAATTTTTATGCTTTTACCATGCAATACTGAGCTGAGCCCACACGTAGCTGTATCTACAAGCCTTTAGAAGTACAAACTTGACTTTTCAAAGACCTAAAAGGTAAGTATATCGAATTCGAATTCGTAGCCAAAGCGTTACTGTATGTGGAGCTGCCTGCGCTTCTCAAAATAATAAAAAAAATCGAACACTAGGGAACTGGTCTCACTGCTAAACTGCTCAGTGAGCTCTGAAGATAAGATCGAAGGAGCAGCCTTCATCAGAGAGGAAAGAAGTGTTAGAAAAAAATTTAAAAAATGAACTAAACCAGATCCAACTCGTTCGTCGTTTTGTGAGTTTTTCAAGAATTTCGTTGCGTCCCGATTTCTAAATGTCTGATAGGAATGAATGTGCATCCCAAGCGGAGTTTTTTCACTCACTTCTTAGGCACTTTGTTTTTCAAGTTTATAGCTGCAAATTTCGCAGGATCAAAGTTGGTGAGGACGCTTGCACAATTTTTTGTCGAGCTTATCTTGCC